GTATGAAAATTTCCAGCATTGAACAGTCTTCACTGACAGAACAATGGATTAGAACTCATAATGTATATAGTTTGTTAAAAAAAACAAAAGATATAAAATTGATAGACATTTGAGAGTTTAACCAATACTAAAGCCAACAGTTCAAGTTCTATGCTTCAGTTTGATAATGAAAGCAAGAGAATGGAAAAGTTATTGGATTTTCAGCTAAAATATAAAATAGACATCAACTAAATAAAGAATGCATGCAACGACCTTTTAAAATTAATACAGCAAGAATTTGATTTTTTTTCCCAGCTGAGGACTACAAATAATAACTATAATCTTCAGTGTATTAATCACAAGGTTATATGATATTCCTGGATTTGATTGGTCCTTCCACTTATGCAATGATTCTATTTTAGCAAGTTGGTTATAATCGGATGGATTTGCAAAAGCTTCACTGCCAACTTTTTGCTATTTTTACCTACAGCTGGAGAGAGAATTGGATTCCAATTTTGTCTTTGAATGCATAGTTGTTTTCTTCTAGACTGGTAGCCAGTCAAGGCTAAAGAACTTAGTCTATCCTCTTATTTTATCTATAGCTTTTCCAAGGACACAGCACATAGAAGAAGAATTTGAGTATAACACTATCAATGAAGTCTTTTATCAAACCAATCTTTCTATGAAGGACAAACTCTAGCAATGGAATTTCAAAGATTTCTCAATTATGGAAACTATCTTTATAAAAATGTGCCTTTTAGAAGTTAAGAAAAGTATTAAAATTCTGTTGTCTGTCAGCATTCAGTGGCACATTGCTCAAGTTCCAACTTATGATTCTTACAAATGTGTCATTGCAACAATTGTTTCCCTATTAACATCTATCTTAGTGATTTAGTCAAAATATTAAATTCACTGGTTGTTGGGGATGAGCAGACTTTGTAACTCCCACTTTACCAAGTGGGTTTTTAGTCCTTACTTCTGTTCAAACTTTTTCTTTGTGCTTGGGTTCCCTGCTCGGATATGGTGATTCTTTTCATGGGGTCACTTCAAGTGATATACCTGTATTTATCTTGTCATTTGTGGATTGCCTATCTCTTCATTAAAGGTGCTGGCATTATTCACCTGATAGTCCAGGGTCTAAACTTCCGGGGGTGGTCTCGGCAGCAGCAGCAGTTGTATAATATCAGGGCTAATGTACTGCCATTGTGTGAATGAATTCTGGACTATGCTATAATTTCTGATATGGCTTCTTACTCAGTATAGTGCAGTGTGTGTGACGGCATCTGGACAAACATATTGGGAGGGCATTCAAAGAGTGAAATAAAAATTTAGTTCTTGAAATTGTCTCTGTTAACTTTGTTCTACAAGCACCCTATAGTCCCACAACCTAGTGTGAATGTGGATCTGTATTTTGATAAGCAAGACCAGAGTAGGCACCCTCTACTTGAGTCTTAGGGGCATACAATAAAGGAGTTAGTTCTGGGCATCACCAAACCACTGCACATTACTGTTCTCGATGCCATAATGAAGTGTACAATTATGGTTGTACATTCTAACGTTTAATCCAGACAGAGATTTCTTTTTGCATACTACATGTGAGTGTTGCTAATTCACTAGCTTGACTCTTCAGCTTTATATACAAGCCATGACCCACAATTAAAACAAACAGTAGAATCAAACCCACTTCTTCCAAACCAAAAATAGACCTCAATTTCTCCATTTCCTAAACTAATTTAAGTCAGTCAATTTCAGTTGAGGAATATATAATCTCAATCTCTGCCCCCACCCCCTCAATCCACAAAACATGACCGCCCCCCCCCCCAAAAAAAATTAAGATGACCATGAGCTTGAGGCTTATATTGGGGATGGCTTCCTACATGACAGAGCCAAAAATGAAAACCCTGATTTCCCATTCATAAGCTTTTGTATTACCCATCTTCATCTTCACTATTTATCTCAGGATGATGGTAGTGTGATATTGTGTGAATAACTGAAAAGATTGATGTTATCTTCTGCAATCATCCTTCAGCCAGCATTCATATATGTGGTGATTGTAATAATCACCATGTGGAGTGGTTAGTTAGGTTGTATTTTCAATGAGGTTTCTTGTCTTGAACAAATATTGGGACTCAAATTTGTACCAGATCTCAAGTGATGTTTGTATATGATCTATCACTAAAGAAGCGAGAAAAGTACCTAACACTGTCTGTTATGCTCTATCTTTATGAAAGTCACATGAAACCAAAAATGGAGTATTTTTGCTATATCTGGGTCGGAGCTGAATAATCCTCACTTTACAACTTTGACAGACAGTATTTATGCATTCTTGCAGGTGATGAACTATTTTCAACCCTACAAGCCCTTTCCCATAGACAATACATTGCATGCCTTTTCTTATTATTTACCTTATTTCCATAAAAAATGTTTAGATGGGCTACATTCCTTATTTCCACCATTTGAGACTTCTACAGCTAGAACATGCCATGACATGTACACACTGTCAATTCGTCTTCATATTCCATTAATAAGGAAGAAGTCCCACTTAAGTAGCTTCTTCAGAACTGTTATATTGCATAACAGACTCCTGAAAGGATGCTTCCCTGATCACTACAATCTTAACCTCTTCAAGTCTAGGGTCAACTGTTATCCATCCTACATATCGTCATAATCTGCACTTACTTCCTCTTCTTATGTCCATACAACAATCTCACTCAGTAACCCTCTACCTTGTGTGTCTCTTGGACTTTGTATTGGATAATATTAAGTTAGAAAAAGAAGTGTTGAACTTCTATGTAATATCAAATCTCTAATAATGTCCGTGAGTAATGGACAATCTCATCACAGAAGCAGAGATGTGATTTTATAAACAAATGCTATGAATACCACCAACAGAACATTGAGTAATGGGGAAGTTTTAAGGAAAATAAAAACAACAAGGAAACTTATACTTGCAATCACAAAGAGGCAGTTTAAATTTCTGGGATGCATAATGAGGAAAGAGGACATAGAGAATTTAACACTCACAAGATATACTGAAGGCAAATGAAGCAGCATGGAAACAGTGAGTAACCAACTTAACAAATTTGTGTGAGTGGATGGCAGAACACAGACAAAAAGAGTTACTTAGAACAACAAAAAACAGAAAGTTGAGAAGAGCCATGATCATCTACATCTTGGCAGGATTTGGAGCATATAAGAAGAACTGGGTAGGATATTTGCTTACCATGTTGAAAATATTCGATTTTTATTGCCCATAACTTGTTACAAAATCTGGAAAATTTTCATTAGGTTTAAATAGAAAATTGCATGTGGAAGCCACATATTAATGCAACTAACATAATCAAGCTAGTGCAAATGATTTTTCAATGCTTGAATATTTTGAGTATGTTGGCTATCACCTGTTTCATATAACATTGATTATTCTTAAGTAATGTTTTGATTTAATCATGATCAACCTGAACAGTTTTACCTAACCATAAAAGATTGTTCAGTGAGAAATCTCAAGAACAAAATTTTGCAAACCACTTTTGATACATTTGATCATTCACTGTACCTTCTCCATAAACTGCACAAATTCTTTTATGCTATGTATCACACTGGGTGTTAGGCAATTTCCACATTGATGAAGAAGAAACTTGAAGCAATATGGACAGAACATTTGAGCAATGTGAAAGTTTCAAAGAAAATAGAAACTACAAGGAAACTGAAAATTCCATGGACAGAATATTTAATATTTGACTGATCGATTTGTTTTTATGATGTATCAACCTTTTACAGCCTATTTAAAGACAGAAAATATTTTTCAAGTGTAAGAATCTTTTGGAGAGAATATTGATTTACTAATACAAGTCCTACTAATTAACCCATAGCTGAGGGGAGAAGAGGTGGATGCTAACCTTTTCCAAGGGTATTTGCACAAAAGGGAATGTACAAGCCAGACAGGAACTTGAACTGGAATTTGGTTCTCCAATTTCCCAATCTGAGTCATTTTCCACTACACCACTTGCACATCCAAACTTACTGCACCTGATTTTCTCAAATAGTCACCCATCTAGGTACATTGCTTAACTTTGGTGATTGTATGAGTCCTTCTCTGTATCCTTTCCTAGAACATGTCTCTTCACTATTTTTCTCAATCCTCTTTAACCCCTTATGTGCTAGTGGCACTCCTGCCTTGCTTGGGGTGAACTGTTTAAAAAAAAAAAACCCCAAAAACTGGTGTTTCAATGTGGTATGGCCATGAGCGATGTGAGCAAAATGGAATTCATAATGATATTAGAAACTGCAAAGATATGGAAATTTCTGGGACACATAATAAGGAAAGTAGACTTGGAGAATTTAATATTCACAAGGCATACTGATAGCAAGATAAGAAGATGGAAACAACATGCAACCTAACTGACAAGGAACATACAGAGTCGAATTAAAGGGACAAGAAATGCTGACTGCAACAGGAAGTTTTGGAGAACTATGATTGCCCACTTTCCTGAACAGTCAGGGCAGATAAAAAAAGAATGATTATACTATACACACACACACACACACACACACACACACACACACACACACATTCTTTAAAACAACTCCTCTCTCTTTCAAATGCAATTCTTCCATCTTTCTGTTTACAATTCAAGAAGAAGTAAAGAGGAAATAAAATTAATAAGTCAAGTGAACCAGAAAAATGTAGACTAGAAAGAATCGTACAAATATAATAAAGGGATGAGTACATTATCAATACTACCATTGAAAAAGAGGTTCACTGGACCCTTTCTCAGATGAAGAGGAAATTGAATTAAAAATCTAGGAATCTGATAACAAGGTATAAGGGTCTTAAAACCAAAAGATGGCACCAAGAGACTTTATATAAAAAAAGAGACTGTATTATAATTAATTTCTCACCTATAATGAGAATTTTGATCCATACACTATAGAACAGATATTTGTAACAAAGATATGACAGAACAAAGATTATACAGGGCTGAGATTTGTGAAACATGCATCACAAGACAGAGGTTTGTGAACTATCTACCACAGAAAAGAGACTTGTGAACCATGGGGTGGAGAAAAGAGACTTGTGAATCATCCACTACAGTACAGAGACTAGTGAACCATCCACTTGCAGAATAGAAACTTGTGAACCATCTATGATGGAATAGAACCTTGTGAAGCATGTACTGCAGAACAGAGACTTGTGAACCATCCACTGTAGAACAGAGACTTGTAAACCATTGACAGCAGAACAGAGATTTGTGAACCATCTATGATGGAATAGAACCTTGTGAAGCATGTACTGCAGAACAGAGACTTGTGAACCATCCACTGTAGAACAGAGACTTGTAAACCATTGACAGCAGAACAGAGATTTGTGAACCATCTATGATGGAATAGAACCTTGTGAAGCATGTACTGCAGAACAGAGACTTGTGAACCATCCACTGTAGAACAGAGACTTGTAAACCATCGACAACAGAACAGAGATTTGTGAACCATCTATGATGGAATAGAACCTTGTGAAGCATGTACTGCAGAACAGAGACTTGTGAACCATTCGCTGCAGAACAAAGACTAGTGAACCATTCACTGCAGAACAGAGACTTGTGAACCATTCACCGCAGAACAGAGACTTGTGAACCATCCACCAAAGAAAAGAATCTTGTAAACCATTCACCACAGATTCAGGAAATTGTCAGTTATACACCACTGAACAAATACTTGTGAAAAATACAATACTGGATAGAGGCTTGTTAACTCTCAACAACAGAACATTGGAAAGATCATAACAACTCAATAGATGAAGGCAAAATGTGAATGGGAAATAGAGCCTACTTTTATATGTTGTGTCCCTTTAGGATATGATCAGTCATGGCTCTCCACAATTTCTTACCTTTTATAGCTCTAAGCCACGTTTGTTCCCTTACTATCCTTCCCAATGTCTTTTTGGCTATCTATCTACCAAAGCTTGTTAGGCAGTTTACTCAATGTTTCTCTCTGTACCACTTGTTTTCAGTAAGTTATATGAGTGTCAAATTCCTCAAGTATGCTTTGCTTATTGTGTGTTATAGAAATTTCAACTGTTTTTTTTTAAATCTAAATGTTCTTTTTGTTTTGATTTTCCTTAAAATTTTTCATTGCTCATATATTTTTGTCTATGGTATTCTCTACAACCTTCTGTAGAACCACATCTCTGTTGCCTCAAGTTTCCTCATTCTGGGAGGAAAATGTTCAGTATTCACTGCCATATAGAAGGCTTGTTTCTAACAAAATTTTCCTGTCTCTTAATATTTTGTTTAGCTTTTAGAAAGCAGCTTTCAGTTGTGAATAAATAAACCTGTATATGCCAACAAAGAAGACATGTAAAAATAAAAATAAAATGTTTTATAGTTACAGCCATGAGTGAAAGCATAAGAAGCAGTGTCATCAAAGCCCAACAAAACAGAAAAACAGCAAAAGTTGTCTTGAAGGAGAAAGTGTCAAGACTTTAAATCACATCATTAGTGAATGCATAAAATTCAATCAAAGAGAGTATAAGAATAGCATGAGAGAGAAGCGGCAGAATATATAAGAAATATGGAACTTTTACACACATTGATATGTGAATACATATCATCAAAAATGAATGCATAAATCAGACCTAAATGGAATATAAAAGTAAGTATTAAAGATTAAGGACAGTGATATGTGAATGGACCAATAAGTCTCTAACCTGAATCTCATTAGTTGAATTTTGATCTGAAATGCATAATTTTCATTCCTCTGTTATCAACATTCACCACTGAATTAAATACATTGCTGAAGAAGTCTATCATGCAAAAAAATAAATATTTACCTTTCTTATTCATTTTTAACAGGTATTTATTTTCACCTTAATTTTTTCCTGCTTTGAAAGTAAGTTTCTTTATTAACCTATTTATGCATGATGCCCAACTAGTTGAGTATGGTCTTAATCAGCTCCAAGCAGCATACCTGCTACATTAGACTATAATATTTTTGTGACAATGTAAGAAGTCTAAAAATATCATAATGGCTCAGATTGAAGAATCAGTGAGCCAAGTTTGAATTTTAGTCAAATCCATTACATTCATATATGTGCTAATACCCTTGGGAAAGGTATGAATCCTCTTCTTCTCCCACCAGCTATGGATAAATAGCAGGACAGACTGGGTTCTATAGCCTTGGATGGTAACTGGTCTACTGTAGAAAGAAATGGCAACCTACTGTGGGAAAAAATCTGCCTCATCAGTCATGTATCGAAAGATACATGGCATATAACTGAATGTATTAAGCTTGGTAACCATAGAGTATTAAGACTGTGCCCAACTCACTGGGCGACATTAATCTTCTTTTTCTATGTGCCATGTACCTTTGGATCACTGACAATCATGGCCCTCCACAATTTCCTGTCTTTTGTAATGTAATTATACTCTACAAAATATAACCAAGTGATAGCTGCAGAAGTGATCAACTTCCAGTGATATGCAAACTTAAAGTGAAACTACAGAAACTGAAGAGGACTAAGGCATCATGTATAAATGTGTCAAAATCCCATGTCCCTTCAGGATATAGATGATCATGGCTCTCAACAGATTTCTTTATTATCTGTGGACATCCCAGAAAGAATAGTGCAATGATTTCACAGATGGAAATTCTGAAGAGTCTTTCTCTTAGACTGGCTGCCACCCAAGATTAAGAGTCCACTCTACACAGTTATTTAATTCACCATTTTTAGGGAAAAGATAGAGTAGCGCTTTCCTCAAGTGTATAGTGTGAAAGTGAATGCAACAGATTAGGTTGGAATTTTAACTTCTATGTTATCCACACAACAGCTAAAATTAAATACAAGTCAAAAATTAATAATTACAATTGACAATACTTTGATCTAATAGAGTTGAAATATTTATTGCTTAAATTAGATGCTTTGTCCATCACTGTATTTTTATACTATTGTTTACCCAATACAAGGCCCTAGAGTCACTCAAGTTAGAGGGCTACTGAAGGAAACTGTTGTAAGGACATACATAGAGAAAGTAAGTGGTGCCTATTATAAGAATAGATAACAATTGATTCTAGAATTTAAGAGTTTCAGATTATAATAATTGGGGAAGCATCATTTTGGAAGTCTGTTCCACAATATAGCAATTCTGGGGAAGAGGCTGTCTGAGTGGAATTCTTCCTTACCAATGGAATACACAGGGGAAATATGTCAACTCAGGGTACATGACATGGCTGTGAAAGTCTGGGCCAATGGAATCAAGGAATGTAGCTTACCTGAAAATCTGCATAAAAAAATAACAATAGAATAGTGAGAGGTTTGCAATGTTGTATCTCTGAAAAAAGGGCTGCAGGGTGTAAAATAATTCATCACCCACATGGACACATAAATGCTTTTGAACTTTGTCAAGACTGAATAGTCAAAACTGAGCAGCTCTAACCCAGACTGACAGCAATACTCCATTTTTGGCTGTACTGGAAATTTGAAGGGGCATGCTGTTGTTCAATCTCTATGATCAGCTCCTAGACAGCAGGTTTAAAAATACTAATGTATGAAATATTATAATATTTGATTTATTCATTTTCTATAGCTTATCAACTTTTTGCAGGTCATTTAAAGCTAGAAAATATTTTTAGATTGCAAGAATTATTGTAGGGGGAAATAATAATGGTTTAGTGATACAAGTATTGCTAATTATTCCATAGCAGGGGGGAAAAGTGGATTCATATATTTCTCAAGGGTACTTACATGTAAATGAATATAATGACCCCATTACTCATTACACCATCCCCACCTCTAAGTTTACAGCATCTGGTATTCCCATGCAGTCACCTATGTTGCTGAACTTCAGGGATCATATGGCAATATGATGAGGCCATAAACTATAATATTAGTCATCATAACTGTTGGGGCACACCCACTTTCTGACTGATAATGGACTTATCCCTCTATGATATAAGTCAGTGCTAGAGAGAGTAGTTGTGTTGGGTGAAGGATCAGGTTCAGCGACAGCAGTCGAGATCAGGTTACCATTACATACCGTTGGACTGTAGATTTTTGCTATTGTTACTTACTAACCAGCGTTCCTTATTACTAATCACTCTGTTGTTAATTACCTCTTACAAATATACCAGTATTTATCCCTACAACTGTGTTTGTCTTTATTCGAATACACACACGCGGGAACACTTCCAACAACTCAACAATAACATTATAGGATATGCACATAGTGTAGCGGTTATCAGCATAGAAAGTAGGATCAGCAAGAGCAAATAAAAACGACATAATTGTCCTTAGAATACATAAACCCATCCCTTCTCCACTCTCAACAATGGATTAAATAGGAGAGTAGACCAGATTCTCTAGCCTTGGTTGACAAGCAGTCTAGAAAGAGGACATCACTGAATTCAAAATCAGTAGTGTGTAGGGCCAGTGACTACACATTATAAAACCTACTTGCTACTGAAACCAGAACAGAATCAACTAGCATATTAAGGTTGTGGATCAATATTTCACTGGGGTTTCTAAGGTTATTGAAGATGGCCTGAGAAATTTGAGAAGACTTGCCAGCCACTAATCTCCTGTATAAACCAGAAGCTATTTGTGTTGTGAATATAATGTATGAATAATACTTATTGTTAGTCTGATGATTATATATGTTCATCATTGCAAGCCATGTTTTTTGATCAACAGCTATGTTGACCTGACCATGTCATCCACAATCTGAGAACCAACTCATGCAACATGCATTTTTCATTGATTTAAGAGTCAAGAGAAAAGATCTTTGGTGACCAGTACAAGCAAAACATGAACATTATCAGAGCTGTCCTGAATCACCTAACCAATCAGAAAAGTCGACTGAGGAATGGGCCAGTTGGTGACATGTTTGCATAGATGTTCAAAACACAGAAGTTAGTCCAGCAGTTAAAGAAACATCATTGAAGATGTCACACACAGAATCTTTCCATGCCTGTTATCTAAGATCTTTTCAGATACTCTACTTGTGGAAAAGTGTGCTCTTCCAATGTTAATCTAATTAGCTACATGAGAAACCATTCGTCATGATGGAAACTGGTTGACGGAGTTTAAAAGATGGTCTACAAGGACAATGATGGAGTTCATAATTCATTTTACATAATTCTATTCATTTAATTGAAAATATATATTTTTCTTGTTTATGTGTTGTGTCCCTTTCATGGGCAGTCATGGCTCTCCACGACTTCCTATCCTATGCAGCCCTTAGCAATATTTATCTTTTTAATATCTAAACAATCTCTTTTCTGAAATCCATTTTTAGGTATGTTACTTGCTGTTTCCATCTGTCTCTCTGGCATTTAATATGTCCTGTGAATGTCAAATTTCCCAGCCCTTTGTTCTTCATTTCAACTCTTTCTAATTTGAATTATAGATGTCCTTTTCTATTTCCATTTTCCTTAAATTTCCTCATTGCTCAAATGATCTTTCCAGGCTATTCTCAGTGTCCTTCCATGGAACTACATTTCTTCTTGCCTCAAGTCTTCTCTTCATCTGTGAGGAAATCCTCCAGCATTCACTGATATACAGAACTCAAATTATATTATTTCTGATAAAATTTTCCTGTTTCTTAATGATTTGCTTTGCTTTTGGAATGCATCTTTTGGTATTTAAAGTAATATTTTTATATCTTATTGATTACCCTGTTGTAACTGCTTTTCAAGCCAATAGATATGTTTAAAAATAGTTGCTTCTGATACACATTGATGGTTATTCCATTCAGCAATTTTATCATATAACCAATAATTATACATAGCAAATTTGTGGGCTGTACATGAAAGGATTTAGCTGTATATATGAAACAGTCTTTTCTCAATTTTATATATATAGATCATTGCTGTGAGAGATTACAATATGTTCATACATTGAGTCAGAAATAATTTCCTTTTTTTGTTTATCAACAATCCACCTTGTTGAGCATGTAGAACCAAAAGCCCCAGTCTTGCTAATTCCATTTTTTGCCATGTATCGCTTTCCACTAATGACTTTAGAGTTTCATCATCAAAGTCCTATGAATCTATTTGTCAGAGTTTATCATCCAACAATGTTTTTCCCAGAACAAAATGTTGGGATGCTTGATATTAATTTCACTCTTAAAAAATAACAGGGATATCAACTCAAATTATGTATATCCATTTAAAATAAGACTTATAATAATATTTGTATATAATTTCATTTTGTACTATATTTTATATTAATATATATTATATTATTTTATATTAGGTTGAGTCATAAGTAATTTCTGTTTTGTGGAACCAATGTCATAGGTAGCATCAAAAGAACTAACCTTGTTTCCTCTTGCTTGACTGCACCCCGCACATAATAAGGGAATTGCAATCTGGAAAGTTAGGTGGCCAGATATAAGAGGTGATGTGGTCACAGAAATTGTCTAACAGATGCGACTGGGTTCTCCTGCTTGCGCAGCATGGGGTAGAGTCCTGTTGTCAGACATAGGGTCTTCTAGTAGCTACCGTCTTGACCCAGGGCAGCACTATATCCTCAAAGCACTTCAAGTAGGCTTCTGTGTTAAGTCTGAGGCCCTGTGGGAAGATGAATGGTGGCATAACATTGTCATCACTAGTGATCATTCCAAACACCTTCGGCATCACCATTAGACTCATCCAACTCTTTTCAAATCCCCTGCACTGTCCAAACATCCTGAAATGTTCATGTTGGAGTTTCTGGTGAGCAACATGCCATTTCCAAATTTTTGGTGGAGTGAATTGTATGATGGTGCTCTTTTTCTCACAGATAGTGTCCAAATGATACTAGTATGCTGTGCAGATGACAAAATCAAAACAAACATTGTGCATATAAAATGACAATTTACCCATTGTACCCTATATATATATATATATATATATATATATATATATATTCATATACAAATAATTACTGATGCATATAGATAGTATGAGATATATATTTTATGAGCCAATGGAAAAAATATTTTTAAAATCATTGTGCTATCCACTTCCCTCATTCTCACCCTGAAGGCATATGACTTACCTTGTGTCTCTCCATGATTGTGGGTTGTGTCCCCTTTGTTCCAGTCATCAACACTGTCAGAATGGGAAGACAACATAGATATTTCCCTTTGGTTGTTTGGTACGACAAGAGTTGTCCGTTTACCTTTTCTACCCCAGGACATTGCTCCTATTTCCTGTAAATAGCAAATTGCAAAGAATCAAAGTATTTTATCTTACAGACAATAGATTCCATATTTTTAAAAATCAATGTGTGAATACATTGGAAACTCTTTGAGAGGACTAGTCTAATTAAAAATAAAATTGGTTTATTACAAAATGATTTCCAAGAAATATTACGCTAACCATTTTAACACATAAATGCTCACAGTTCCAAAAATTAGTTAAAGGTTTAAATGTATTATTAACACTGGATTTATAACTCCATAATTAAGAGTAGCTTCTTATAAAGCTATAATTAATACTAGATTCTTATAAAACCATAATTAATAGTAGAGTTTTTTTTATAAAACTATAATTAATACAGGGTATTTTTAGATTTTTATTTTAATTTTGAAAATGCATAATGGCTCAGAATGTGAAATCAGAGAGTGGAATTCAAATTCCAAACAGGTTTGTTAAATTCACTTAAAAAGAATACCCTGGAGAAAGGTAAGAATCATCTCTTCTCTGCCTAGATATGGGTAAATAGCAAGACAGACTGTGTCCTATAGTTTTGGTTGGCAACCAGTCTTGGAGAAAAAAAATCTGATTCAAACCAGCCAAGAGGAGGTTGGGCTTCGTCAGATGATCTTGACTAAGGCACGCTACTGTTGCTATGGCTGCAGTGCATGTGCTACCCCTATGATCCTAATGGGTTATGGAGCTTGTGATTAATTGGTCAACTACTTGATAGATAAACAATCAGAGCAATTTGTTCAAATTCTCTAAAATTTGTGGGTAGCATCTCCTCTGAAGACATGTATGTGTCTCTATTTCTTTTTGTGATTTATAGATATAGTAACAAATAAATAAATCAATAAATGTCTGGCAGCTTATTGTCAAGTATGCCCATCTGCTAGGATGATTAGCTAATCCCTGTTGCAGGCCACTGCTCAGGCATATTTGTTTTTCTTCAATTATCAAAGAGCCAACATATAGTAGAAGTATACTAAGTGGACTTTACTTACAGTTTCTGGGAGTGAGAGCACAATCTGGCATTATCATTATGTAACAGAGTATCAGGTCAGCCTGATAAAAGACTCTGAATTGGTTGTATGTGGTGCTGTGAGCACCAGGAGTTATGACCCCTTCTAAAATGGTCTGCTGAGAGATGACTTTCTACTTAGAGCAGGTGGTGCAGACTATTTGCATATGAACGATACTGGGCAGGTATTAGCCAATAGTCAGTGTGGGAAAGCTATATAACACCAGTTTTTCTCAGTTGAGTCCAGCACTCTGAGCATGTGGACATGCAAAAACCAGACAAGACAAGACGAATACACAGGAATTGAACAATTTACACTCAAACCCTCAGATATGATGATTTGTGACTTGACACTAGCACATATGTCTATATATCATCGACTGTGAGTCCATTGCATGCCAAAGTCCTTTCCCAAATTTGATGACCGACAGTTCTATACTCTGCTATCTTTTGTCAGCCAACTCCTCTATTTATTATTTATCTTTTACCTTCTGCCTGACTTTTGCTATCAAATGAGCACCAATAAAAGCAAACTTTTGTTTCCACCATTATCCATTTTTTTGCTATATATCCTTTTAAGCTTTGTTTTTGTCATTTTGTCAATATCTTTAATTTTGCTCTCTTCCCTCAACTATGTTTACTTCTTTCCCTCACTCAGTGTTATCTCAAACCTTGCTCTTTCCATTGATCTTTGTGCATCTCAAAGTTTGTTTTCAAGTGATTTTGTTAATTTCCGATAGTAAATCACCTTCTTAAGTTTGTGGGAATAGCTGGTACAAGGAAAAAATGGTAGAAGATTAAAACTTAAAGTCACAAAAACAGGTAGTTGTGGAGAAACATAACTGCCTATGAAAGGACATGGTAAATAAGAAAACATCAAAAGATATAGTGACAGAAAGACAAAATCTACTGACATGTTATTAAAAAAAAATTTTGACAACTTTTTTGTTGGAACTTTATGAGCAGAGAGGTGAATGCCCTCAGCTCCAAATTTTTAGGGTTGAAAAAAAAATGATTTGGGAAAATATGTATAAAACTAGAATTTATAACAAGTCATGGCTAAAGAGGAAGTCCAATAGTTTAAATTACCCCAGGCATTCAAAACCTGCCCTATGTCAGTGCTTACATGTAAGGTTCAGAAATTCTTGCAAACATAAGAACTGCTTAATCCCTTACAAATAACTCTGCAATGCTCATAAGAATATTTTCTTTTTTTTTCTTCCCTTTTTTTTTATTTCTTATTTGAAGAAAAAATTAAAAGAAAGCCATACTGGAATTATCACAGGGGTTTTATTGGGTGCTAAAGGTGATTGTCACAGATGTTTGGTAAAAATGAAAAATAAGTAATAAATTGGTAAATTCTTTTTCAGGAACAATATTGTAAAGGATCTTTGGGAAGAAATGCAGTGGACAGAAATAAAACTATTTAAGTGCTTATGGAGTTGCAGTGAACATGCTATTCTTTAGTCTTGTGAATTTAACCAATGAGATTTCAGGTCTTAGCTTGAAGGCAAACAAAAACTTTTGTGCATAGTGACAAAACAAAGGAGTGAACAAAAAATAAGATAAAACATGAATATCATTTTCTAATAAAAATAATTAAGATGAATAGATAAAGTTACAAACAATAAAGTCTTTTGTCAGAGATGAAGTAGATCAGAAGCCTGATTAGAGCAGTAGCCAAAAGGGGTATGTAATTGCTAAATAGAAAGCAGTTTAGGAAGAAATTTGTCTTCAAGCAGCACAGAGATAAAATTGAAGATAGAAAAAGCTTTTGATAGAGATGGCAGTGACAGTAGGATTGGGGTGAGCAAAGCATGAAAATAAAGACATCGCTGCAAAGATCGTTTTAATCAGAAAGCTTCTAGAGAATAATCATGAACAATAATTATTAATTTTTTTTTTTTATTTGTATTTACTTTCATCATCTTAAATTTTTAGTTGTTTTTATTACAACTTTTCCTCAGGCCATCAGTTCTGCTAGAGTGAGTAAATAGCATGATTCAGAAACAAACGACAAACTATTGATGAAATTGAAAGCCTAGCAAATGACCAATGACTTTCCTGTTAAAATACAAGAACATGATGGCTTCAGGGAAGACCAAATCTAACCAATAACTCATCACTCCATTCCATGATCTCTCTCATCATTGTTTTCTGTTTTATGCTGGTAGTAAAAATAATAATACTGCCACCTCATAAAATTTTCATAAAACTTGTACTTACTTTAATAAACACTTACACACACAAACACGCCACTATATATATATATATATATATATATATATATATATATATATATATATTATATTATTGATCCTAAAAATACCTTCGATTTATCATTTACTACAAAAAAAATTCAAAATGTATATTCTAATTCTTAGGACTAATTCAGCATCTCAAAAATGTGTATGTTCTTCAGGAGATTATATTTCCAACATGAATGATCAACAAACAACATTAAATTTTTATATTGACCACACATTCATCACACTCATTCATAGTGTGAATAGCAATTTGTTGACATAGAGATCAATATGAGAGAGGGAGAAATAGAGAGAAAAGGACAAATGACATGAATCAAGTTATCTATGTATTCTGTAGCATCAACAAATATTTTAACAAATATTTAAGCATTAAAATTTGTTAGATTAATAAATAAAAAAACCTATAATCAAATAATAAAAATTTTGAAAATTATTTTGTTTATGTTAGAATATGAAACTGAGCAAATAGGAATGATTTGAGAAACCGAGAAAGATTAGCGTTTATAAGACATTATTCAAATTTGTTTTATCATCGATGAACTTTTTGGCTGAGACAGTCTAAAGCATGTCAGATCTAAGAAATTTTTCCCTGGCAACGAGGATGTAGGTTTGGATTCTGTTGGAGAGTTCATATTTTTTCTTTTAAGATTTCTTGAATATTCAAGCAAGGAGACAAAATTAAATAAGTATAATATTTAATAAATAAACAGAGTGTCTACTTAAATATGAGTATCAAATAAAAATAACGTTTAAGTAATAATATCTGTTGGATTAATAAATAAAAAAAACATCACTTCTTTATATATATATATATATATATATATGTATATATATATACTAGATTCACCTGTCATTTTCAACAGATGAGGGTTCAGAAGCCGAGTTATTAGAACCAAAAGCCAGACTATCCACACATATTTGATTATAATGGTAAAGCTTTGTGTAGAACTAACAACACTTTTTGGAAGAGCTGAATATATAGAACTAGTGTACAGTATGCCACAAGTTCTCCAAATGACCATCCGCAGGTTTTGAATTCAGAGTTGTCCTTCTTGTAGACCATTTGACACCCAAGGCTATAGGACCCAGTTTGTACTGCTATTTATTCAAAGCTGAAGGAAGGAGAGATGAATTCATACCTTTCCCAAAGGTATTAGCATGTATTTGAACATAATGAAATTAACTGGAATTCAAAATTGGTTCTCCTATTTCTTAATCTGAGGTGTTATCCATTATTCCAGCATGTGTGTATATATATATATATATATATGCCAAACGGCACATTTCGTTTAATGGGTTTTCTCAAGGATGCTGGCCAGTAGACAAAATAAATACTGTTTAAATTTAAATGGAACATTTACTCAAATATGGCTATCAACTAACAATAACATATAATGAACTCTCATCACAGATGCAAATGAGGTCTCAGTAAAATAAAGAGGTACTCAACTTTTAAGGACACACATGTATCTCCCAAGGCCTGAAGGTGTTTTGCAAACTTTTAGACAGATAGAACATGTGGTTGAGCCATTTTCCTTGAATAATTTATGAATTGTTTCCATGAGTGGGCAGCAAGGCCTTCTTTACTGCATGCGACAAAGCCAGCGGCAAGTAAGTCTATCTTTAAAAGGAGCAGCATGCTACCAACTTTCTTTAATATTTGCATGCAGTTTAGCCTGATGTTTAAGTTGGCCTCACTGAAACCTTTGTATAGATGAGAAGC